CCCCAAAACCCCAAAACCCCAAAACCCCAAAACCCCACTTTTACCTATAATTATAGAAATACACAAAATGTCCTTGAAGATGTACTCAAGCTTTAGCAACAAAGGTCCGAAATTCTCTCCCAAGAAAAGCCCATCCCAAGACCGTAAGCATCTCTAAAAGCACACTCAATTAATAGGACTCAACGTAGATATCTCAATAGTACACAAGCCTAAGCCTAACAAAAAGGACCTTGCTAAGTCCAGCTCAAGAAGCATGATTCGAAAGGATAAAAGTGTTGACAGCTGCAGGAAATAAGAAGAGGGTCAACACTTGCCTGAAACAGATGAGTCCAAAATTAAAGAAAATATCCCAATTTTTAACTCCATATCAAGAGCATAAAGAAGACCTTGAAGAATACAACTGTAACTCCTCTCTAACCCCATAGCTTTCTCAGGGACAAAAAGACCTCCTGTCTTCCTCCCAAAGCCCTCTGCCCAGCCCCATAAAGAAAGCGAAGCCCTTAAAAAGCAGAAGGAGAACTTCCTTGAGCTTCTAACGTACCTTAAGAATGCTAAAAATCGAAGGAAGAATAGTACCAAAATTGGCAAGAACTCTACCAGCTTTAACCGCCGTAGAGCCTCGAAGTAAATTATGTAGTGAAAATATAGGCAACAAGTCAGTAATATCTCTATTGTGCCAGAGGGGGATAGAGAGATTAAGACTGATGATAAGGAATCCCACAGAAGTCTGGCTGTGAACAAGTCCTTACATCTTAAGTTAGGACGAAAGAATGCAGTCACTCGTATCAGGAAACGTAGCAGTAAAGGATTCCGAAGTATTAGAGATATTATAAAATATCCTTACCAAGATGATTACGTTGAAATGCCACCTTCGACTTTGTTAAAAAGTGGATTGAGGAGTTATTCTTCAGTCTCTAGGAACAAGATTTCGCGGACTAAAGATGATAAAACTTTGTATGATTCAAACAACTTAACTAGCATCAATAGCGTCAGAAGCCACATAACTAATCCTTATGAAGAAATTCAGATGAAACGGTCATTTTGTAAAAATTTCTAATAAATTTTAGCCAAAAATCGTATGAAAAAGCTTCCAAAGCTTGAAAAATCATCAGAAGATATCCTTGAGGACAGAATAAATAGCCTAACTAGATGATTCTCTAAAGAATCTAGCAAAAATGAACCTAAAATTTTCCTAAAAAGAGGAAAATCTATGGACCAGAATGTTATAATGATGAGGAAGTTTGCACAGAGATATGAAGAGCTCTTAGCTCTCAAGCCTGCTACAAAGAAGATTAAGCTCTCCCCTAATCAAAAACAGTTTATTAGAGATTGTAAAAAGTGGCTTAAAAGAGCTCTCCAAGACCCAAATCTTCTTCAAAAAGAAGACTTTGTTGATGAGTTCAAGTGGACTCAGACTGATGATATTTTCAAAGGGCAGCACAATGGCCTCAACGCTCAAGGTCATGGAGTCTGATTCACTCGGACGAATAATCTCATTGAAGGAATCTTCAAAGAAAATACTCTCACAAAAGGAATAGCCAAGATTCTGTATTCTAACGGGGAATATTTTTCTGGAGAAGTCACCCAAGGAGGACTCAAGAACGGCAAAGGCACTTACTATTACTCGAATGGGGATAGATATGATGGCCAATTCCTAAACGATAAAAGAATTGGAAACTCAAGGCTCATCTTTGATGATAAATCAGAGTACATCGGCCAGTTCATCGACGATGAAGCTGATGGACATGGGATTTACACAGACCCACAAGGCAACAGATATATGAGTATCTCAGAAACAATGGACAGAACCTCTGACCATCATCAGGATGGAGGCAGTGGCCATTTCTTGAGAGGCAGGCTCTATGGTAAAGGGGAAATTCACTTCAAAAATGGTGATCACTATTCTGGCCAATTCAAAGCATCTAAAAGGCATGGAGAAGGCACAATGACATACAATGCTCCTATTTCAGAAGTCGACTTCTCAAATCTTGGAACTTATTATGGGAATTGGGTCAATGAGTAATTATTTATCTAAATCTGTATAGCCAAAGGCACGGTAAAGGAGAAATGGAATTTACAGACGGAACATCTTTCACTGGAAAATGGAGTAAACTCTTATCTAATTCTATAGACAACGATGAAATGAGATATGGGGAGTACAAAAGACCTGGGTCAATCATTTATAAAGGCCATCTGTCAAATAAGAAGTACCATGGCAGTGGTAAGATCACCCTCAACTCAGGTACCACGATCCTCGGAGAATTCTGAAAAGGAGAATTTCCAAAATCAGGAACAATTCTATTCCAAAATGGCTTGAAATTTGAAGGACTAATAGAAGATACTCAAATAGGCGATAAGGGAAAGCTAACTTACAAGAATGGAGATATTTATGAAGGCTTCTTCAAGAACAAGATGAGAAATGGCTTTGGGACTTTTCTCGAAGCAAATGGCAATAAGTACGAAGGGAGATGGGAGAAAGATCAGCAACAAGGAGAAGGCAAACAGTTCTTAAAATCTAAATAAGGAGTTCTATGAAGGGGGATTTAACTCTGGTAAAAGACATGGCTTCGGGCGGTATATTAATCATAAAGGTCAGCTGTACATTGGAGAATGGAATAATGGAAAGAAGATAAACTCTAAGAAATATCAGGATAATGCTAAAGATCTTGAGTGTGTAAACTGAATAGTTTCTTCTGAAGAGTATCACGAGGTGATCAATAGTTTCCTCTCTCCAAAATCTTCAACAGGAATGGAGGTCAAAGTTTTTCAATAATTTTTACAATCTAAAACAATTTCAATATAAATTTTATCTTTTGGGGTTTTGGGGTTTTGGGGTTTTGGGGTTTTGGGGTTTTGGGG